AGGTCACAGGGCAGACCCAGCAGGTGCCACGGGTCGACTGAGATGACTGGCTGATGCACCACCTGTGCCCCCTACTGTGCCAACTTGCTGTGCATTAGCCACCCGGCGCTCCGCTCGTTGTTGTGAGCGTCGCTCCTCCGCCCTCCGTTGTTGTTGGAGGGCGACTGCCTCCAACTGCCCAGTAGCGTCCTTCACCAGCCTCCTCCACAGAGGCCGATCTTGACACCGTTGGTACCAGTCATCGGCAAGTCCACTGAGCTCCACGTCCTCCTGTACCACGTCACTCCGTCTCTTCTCTAGCCCGTGCCACGCCCGTTTAGCCCTCTCGATCCGGCCGAACAAAAGATGGTTAGGCATGCGGTGGCTGGGCATGCGGGCTACATGACCCAGCCAACGCAGCCTTGCCTGCCGGAAGAGCTCACCGATGGGACTTTGCCCAGATCTTTCAAGGATTTGTGAGCTCACACAATCCAGCCTGGTTTAACCCAGGATGGATCGTAGGCAGGCCAGCCTAAATCTTTCCAACCGGCGAAGATGCTCCATTAGGGGGGTCCACGTTTCGCAAGCGGAGAGAAGGGAGGGAATGACTGTGGCCGAGAACACCTGAAGCTTCGTGCGGAGCGACAGACCAGGTAGCGTCCACACAGCATTACGCAACCGATGAAAATATATTGCCGCTCGACTGATTTGGAGTGAGACCTCTGCTGTTAAACTGGAGCCGGTCATAAGCACACTGCCCAGGTATGGGAAACTCTCCACTCTCTCCACAACTGCCCCATCACCGATTGGGAGTTGTGGGGGTGGAGTGTCCGATGGTACAAAATACCCAGGCAGGTGCTTCGTTTTGGTGGGGCTGATGGTAAGGCCCCACCTATTAGTGGCACACTCCAGTCTCAGCAGCAGCGTCTCCAACTCCTCCTCAGAATGAGCAGCTATTACCAAATCATCGGCATACATAACGTGGTTGACCAATAGGGAGCCATCCCTTGATCGCACCCGGGCATCGATCAGCCTCCCATTATATCTGTACCAAATGGAAATTCCCCCGGTACAGCTAGTGAAGGCTTCACGAACTACGTGGTCAAAATAGATGTTAAATAATGTGGGAGCCAGAGGACATCCCTGTCGCACCCCAAGGTGTACAGGGAAAGGCTCTGACTCCCGGCCACGTAGTTTAATCCGGGCCCGCTCACCATCATGAAGGTCCTTCATGATCGTGAGCAGAGGGTCAGGGACTCCGAAAGCACGAAGAACAACCCAGAGCTCAGGCCTACTGATGGTATCATAGGCCTTGACCAGGTCACTCCATAACCCACTCACCCACCCACCCACTCACCCACCCACCCACTCACCCACCCACCCACTCACTCACCCACTCACTCACCCACCCACCCACTCAACCACCCGCCCACTCACCCACTCACTCACTCACCCACCACTCACTCACTCACCCACTCACTCACTCACTCACTCACCCACTCACCCACCCACTCACTCACTCACTCACCCACCCACTCACTCACTCACCCACTCACCCACTCACTCACCCACTCACCCACCCACTCACCCACTCACCCACCCACTCACCCACTCACCCACCCACTCACCCACCCACCCACCCACCCACTCACTCACCCACTCACTCACTCACCCACCTACTCACCCACCCACTCACCCACCCACTCACCCACCCACCCACCCACTCACTCACCCACCCACTCACTCACCCACCCACTCACCCGCCCACCCACCCACTCACCCACTCACCCACCTACTCACCCACTCACCTACCCACTCACCCACTCACTCACCCACTCACCCACCCACTCACCCACTCACCCACCCACTCACCCACTCACCCACCCACTCACCCACTCACCCACTCACTCACCCACCCACCCACTCACCCACTCACCCACCCACTCACCACCCACCCACCCACCCACTCACCCACCCACTCACCCGCCCACCCACTCACCACCCCTCACCCACTCACCCACCCACTCACCCACCCACTCACCCACCCACCCCACCCACTCACCCACCCACTCACTCACCCACTCACTCACTCACCCACCCACTCACTCACCCACCCACTCACCCACTCACCCACTCACCCACCCACTCACTCACCCACCCACTCACCCACCCACTCACCCGCCCGCCCACTCGCCCACCCACTCACCCACCCACTCACCCACCCACTCACCCACCCACTCACCCACTCACTCACCCACCCACTCACCCACTCACTCACCCACTCACCCACCCACTCACCCACTCACCCACCACTACCACTCACCCACCACTCACCCGCCCACTCACCCGCCCACTCACCCGCCCACCCACTCACCCACCCACCCACTCACCCACTCACCCACCCACCCACTCACCACTCACCCACCCACTCACCCACCCACTCACCCACTCACCCACCTCACCCCACCCACCCACTCACCCACCCACTCACCCACTCACTCACCACTCACCCACCCACTCACCCACTCACCCACCACTCACCCACCCACTCACCCACCCACCACCCACTCACCCACTCACTCACCCACCCACCCCTCACTCACCCACTCACCACTCGCTCACTCGCCCACCCGCTCACTCGCCCACCCGCCCACCCACTCACGCAGCCATTCACCCACCCATTCCACCCACTCACTCACCCACCCATCACCCGCCCGCCCACTCGCCCACCCACTCACCGCCCACCCACTCACGCAGCCACTCACCCACCCATTCACCACCCAATCACCCACCCACTCACCCGCCCGCCCACTCGCCCCACCCACTCACCCACTCAACCACCCACTCACCCACTCACCCACCCACTCACCCACTCACTCACCCACTCACCCACCCACTCACCCACTCACCCACCCACTCACCCACTCACCCACCCACTCACCCGCCACTCACCCGCCCACCCACTCACCCACCCACCCACTCACCACTCACCCACCCCCCACTCACACTCTCACCACTCGCCCACCCACTCACCCACCCACTCACCCACCCACTCACCCACCCACTCACCCACTCACTCACCCACCCACTCACCCACTCACTCACCCACTCACCCACCCACTCACCCACTCACCCACCCACTCACCCACTCACCCACCCACTCACCCGCCCACTCACCCGCCCACTCACCCGCCCACCCACTCACCCACCCACCCACTCACCCACTCACCCACCCACCCACTCACCCACTCACTCACCCACTCACCCACCCACTCACCCACTCACCCACTCACCCACCCACCCACTCACCCACCCACTCACCCACCCACTCACCCACTCACCCACCCACTCACCCACTCACCCACCCACTCACCCACCCACTCACCCACCCACTCACCCACTCACCCACTCACTCACCCACCCACCCACTCACTCACCCACTCACCCACCCACTCACCCACTCGCTCACTCGCCCACCCGCTCACTCGCCCACCCGCCCACCCACTCACGCAGCCATTCACCCACCCATTCACCCACTCACTCACCCACCCACTCACCCGCCCGCCCACTCGCCCACCCACTCACCCGCCCACCCACTCACGCAGCCACTCACCCACCCATTCACCCACCCAATCACCCACCCACTCACCCGCCCGCCCACTCGCCCACCCACTCACCCACTCAACCACCCACTCACCCACTCACCCACCCACTCACCCACTCACTCACCCACTCACCCACCCACTCACCCACTCACCCACCCACTCACCCACTCACCCACCCACTCACCCGCCCACTCACCCGCCCACCCACTCACCCACCCACCCACTCACCCACTCACCCACCCACCCACTCACCCACTCACTCACCCACTCACCCACCCACTCACCCACTCACCCACCCACCCACTCACTCACCCACCCACTCACCCACCCACCCACTCACCCACTCACCCACCCACCCACTCACTCACCCACTCACCCACCCACTCACCCACTCACCCACCCACCCACCCACTCACTCACCCACCCACTCACCCACCCACCCACTCACCCACTCACCCACCCACCCACTCACCCACTCACCCACCCACTCGCCCACCCGCCCACCCGCTCACTCACCCACTCGCCCACCCACTCGCCCACCCACTCACCCACTCACTCACCCACTCACCCTCCACTGGGGTTGCTGTGCCACGAGGCAGCCCAATGGTGCATGGCTCCGCCACGCTGTGGTCACCATGGCAACGGCTTCCCCGGGCCACGGCGGGGCACGTGACGTCACATTGCAGTCCATGGGGGGTGGGGGATTAAAATCACGGTCCGCGACGTCATAACGCGTTTAACCCCACAGAGCTTATCACTCGCGTAATGACGTCACGAGCTCTTGTGTGCGGATGACGTCATGAGGCGGATCGTGCGTACTGAGGGAAGTTGACGTCACGAGAGGGTTTTGGGGCGGGAGGAAGTTTGCGAGGAGGGTGACGTCATGAGAAGGCGAATTGCGTGCGTCGTGACGTGACGTACGAGACGGTTCGCGCTGTGTGGGGAAGGTTGACGTCATTAAAGGGTTTCGGGTGGCGTGAGAAAGGTGACGTCACGAGAAAGTGTGAGGGGGGGGGGTACATGACGTCATCGACGAGCTTGATGTTGACGAGGTACAGTGCGGGCCACTGTTGTTTTCGGTGGGAGCGACTCTGTGGAACCATCAACAGACGTCGTGTGAGAGGTCTCGTGTGTGTCGCATGTGTCACACGTGTGTTGCATGTGTGTTGCATGTGTGTCACACGTGTGTTGCACGTGTGTTGTACGTGTGTTGTACGTGTGTTGTATGTGTGTCGTATGTGTGAGCAGCAGTGCAGCGGTTAATGCGCTGCGCTACAAACCCGGCGACCCGTGTTTGATTCTCGCTCGCGGCCAACACCCGGTGACGACTATCTGAGCCGGTCCTGGGCCTCCCCTAGGTCGGCTCGGCCTCAAGTGAGTAGCTGGTGCGGTGTGTAGTAAACATCGCCACTGGGGAGACAAAGGCGTCCGGGCGTGGTGCTGGCCCACCCACCCCCCTCCGTGTGTCGTGTCGGCCTTCATAGGTGCTACTCGCTAACAGCACTTGCCCCTACAGTCTGATACAGGCTATAGAGGGGGTATTTGTGTGTGTGTGTCGTGTGTGTGTCGTGTGTGTGGTGTGTGTGTGTTGTGTGTGTGTGGTGTGTGTGTGTGGTGTCGTTTGTGTGGTGTGTTGTGGTGTGTTGTGTGTGTGTGTGGTGTCGTGTGTGTGTGTGTGTTGTGTGTGTTTTGTATGGTATGTTGTGTGTGTGGTGTGTTGTGTGTGTGTGGTGTGTTGTGTCGTGTGTGTTGTGTCGTGTGTGTTGTGTGTGGTGTGTTGTGTGTGTGTAGCGTGCACAGAAGCTAACACACACGCACGCGTTCGGCACCGTGTTGCCTCCGGGGGGAGGAGAGGGGGACGCGATGAGGTGAGGGCAGTCGCTTGGAAGGAGCCATCGGCGGGGCAGAGATCTGTTACCAGTTCACATCCTAGCGCTGTTGCCTGTTGACTCTCCGGGATCTCCTTGTGGGGACGTCTCAACGGTGGCGTGGTACTGTGGGGAGACTCGCCTCCCGACTGCCATAGGAATGTGGAATGGCCACACCTGCCCCAAGGCTGTAAGTCAGAATCAGAATATTTATACTGCGGTAGGAATCTTAAGCTCTTTTTCACAGATGTCCAGTTGGAGGAACGGGGTCAGACCGTTACCTGAGTCATAGATACAAAGCTCGTTTGAGCGGAACATTTTAAACTTAAATTGGTCCTGGTTTGTCTTCAAAGCAGTCAATAGCGATCCGCATTCACATTCCATTCCTTATCCTGAACGTAAACCCTTGCAATCCGAGAGATGAGCCACAGAGCAAGGCCGTCTACCCTTGTGTACAGGTTACGTCCGGAGTCAACTTCAACCCCTCGGCTCAGCCCACCAGAGCCGAGTTGTTGCATGAGGCTAACAAATGCATTGCTCGCAAATTCACGGCAATCGGTCTTCTCTCGTTCATTCACAGCGTTGAAGAAGGGGCCCCAAAACGACGAGCTGCCCATGGACCCGCGTGGTGAGCTGGCGTGAGCCACGACCATCACGAGGCCACGGTTGCACGCGTGAAGCAGAAGAAGTCCGGAAGGACGGCTGGGCAAGCACCATGCCTCGCGTGCGCAGCGAGTACATGCAGCAGTTCTGCCCAGCGGAAGGTGCGCGGGACGTGGCGTCGCAGTGCTACCAAAGCGGCGTGCAGTACCGGCGGGGCCGCCGCCTTCTCGAGCACGCCCACGTGCCGCTGCTGTGGGACCCGGCTCACGGCGACTCGGAATCCGGTGACGATGGCGGCGGCGGCAGGCAAAGCCCTCCGAGGGGTGCGAGCTGGGAGGTTCAGCCGCGGGAAGATGATGTGGAGGGCAGCGGCGGCAACGGCAGCCCCAGCAGCCCCAGCAGCTGGCAGGGCGACAGCGGGCAAGGGCAGGGCGTGCTGCTGGACAAGCAGGAAGGGCAGCACGGAGGTCTAGCAGAGTCGGCAACTGCGCTTGCCGGTATAAATATATATATAAATGCAGTTGTAAATGGATGCTACTCCAGAAGTGCCAGAGGGGAGACTGCTGAGGTATCCTTGAAGGGTGCTCAGACAACCAAATTGGTCACAGGATGAGAAGTAGTATCGTGATTTATCCTGTCGTGAATGGCAACTTGAATGGCTGCAGGCCTTCTAGAACGTTATTAATCATGGGTAAGGTTTTTTTGGGCTAGATCGCATAAGTATGAATGTGTCGTTAAACCCACCACCACCCGACACAGCCAATTAGTAAGGGTTGTCGCGTAAAAAGAACCTGCCAATTAGCGATGACATCACCTTTACTCTATTTAAGACCGGAAACAGGAAGACGTCTTCACAGTTTTGGCTAAATTTCGATTTAAAGCTTTCGTGACTGCAGGGATTCATCTTCTTGGTTCTTTCGGTAAAGTCACGTAGAAGGGAAGTAATAAAATAATAAAAATAAAACATAAAAATTCTCACGACATTTCGGCCACAACGCAAGCAGCCGTCCTCAGCTGTCGCCTCGACAGATCTGGTTTTCACCTGAGGACGGCTGCTTGTTTTATTATGTTTTATTTTTATTATTTTATTCCCTTCTACGTGACTTTACCGAAAGAACCAAGAAGATGAATTTTGGCTAAGTCGCCTGATGAAGCTGGTTGTAATCACCAATGAAACGTCGTACTCAGATTGTAAGTGTTGTGGGTTTACTCTCCAACACACCGGTGTCCTGAACTAGTAAATAAATGGCACGTTTTGGTTACGTGGCAAACCTTACTAATTGGACGTGTCGGGTGCTGGCAGGTTTAACGACACATTTATGTTTTTGCGATCTACTCCAAAAAACTTTATTATTAATCTGAAAAGGCATATGTGACCTCATCTCACTCGGGTCATGCAAATTGCTATGATTGATTGCAGAGTTCTGGTTGTTTACTAGTCATGTTATTGGTCATGTTCTCTGCAACACCTATAAACCATTCACATGCTAACACGCTTGCATTTTTGGCCAGGCTGCATTTGAAAAGAAACTTGTTTTGAGCTTCATAGGCCATCCGCGAAATAATCTTGACTGAAAAATAGGTGGAAGCCATTGCTGATCATCGTTCTCTGGTTATATACCAGGTAGTTGTGGTGCACCACTGCTGTGCCCCAAAACCACCGGGTATACAGGAGGTCGTGGTGTCGACCCCAACCCTGATGCATGTATATTTGAAGTTTGCATATTTTCTCCATGGTCGCGTGGATTTTTCTCCGGGTGCTCCGGTTTTTCCCTCCACATTTAGAATAGTCGTGCGTTTAGAGTCTTCGGTTACTGTATTACATTCTCACGTGATAAGCCGTTTTGTTGAGCTATAACTTGTGGCCAGGTAATTTCTAAAAAGCTCAGTGGGCCTTTCCTGGTCAAATAGAAAGAGGATATAGAACAATGCAAAGGCAATAACAATGGGTAGTGCATACATTGTCGCTCACATGTTTCTCTGTATATCTGTGTGTGTTACAGGTGAGCGGTTGCACAAGAAAGGGAAGAGGAAGAAATTGGCGGTCAAACAAGATCCTGCCAAAAAAGAAACGCAAGCTCCCGGCTCCTTATCTGGACGTAACAAAACCAGTGGCCAGTTTGCTTCTGGCTCTGCCCAAAGGGTAGTAGCATCCAACTGTAACGCCAACATAGCATCTCCAAACGTGTCCAAAAGTCAAAAATCATATGCCCTGTTTCCCAGGGCCACGCATCAAAGACCACCATTTCTGAGCTATGGCTGGGCAAACGACGTTCTGGAAACTGGCAGAAAAAAGACTCACAATATTCTCCCTTCGGCTTCAACCGTACAAGTGAGTGTCATAAAGCGAGGAACTCCGTTCGATATACTTTCCAAATTAATGTGGTACCTGGTATATTTCCAGAGTATGTATATAAGTATGTAAATATATATAAGAAAGGGCCATAGATGTAAGTACTGTACTTTACTCAGATTGTAAGTGTTGTGGCTTTGCTCTCCAACACACTGGTGTGCTGTACTAGTAACGAATTGGCACGTTCTGTTTATGTGACAACCTTACTAGTTGGCTGTGTCGGGTGGTGACGGGTTTTAGCGACACATTTATATAGTTACGCGATCTAACCCAAAAAAACCTGTATATTCGACTGTACTGTAGAGTATAAGCCAGCTCATTTAGCCACAACACTTATTAAATGAAGTGTTATAATATAAGTGGCCAAGGAATGCAAGCTTTATCTGTAGGTTTTACTACATTTTAGCAATGTAACCAGCCTTGACCAGTTTGAACAAAGTCAACAAAGTTTAGATCTCACACATATTGTCATTGAACAAAACAAATTACTTCGCGTTTGTAAAAAGCCATCAAATAATATTGGCCATACTGTTGCATATTGTGTGCGAGCGTTGTGCAAGTGAGCGTGCGTGCGTGAGGGAAACGTGCCGAAACATGCATTTGTGTATACTTTTAATGAAATGTATATGAGACTCCCTATTCCAAAAAAAACACGTCTAGTCAAATTGTGCAGTGTCAGCATGAACTTTTGACACATCGGTGTTTAAGTTTCTCGTGACATTTGCTATGCTAGCAATACGAGTCTGGAGAGCGATACTCTGGTGACTACTTTTTAATTCTGGTTTCCCGTCGGACATAAAGTTAATATTGTATCGGGTATCAAGTTTGAGTGTTTAATCTCAGTCGTCAATCACTTCGTTTGAGGAATTTTGCACCACGTGTATAATGTGCTGAGAGGGTGAATTGTAGGTAAAAATGTAGCAAAAAGCCCAAGGTCGGCTTAATCGTGTAGCCACAATTTGCCTTTTAGGAAAAAATGCAAGCGTTCTAGATGCTTTTTAATCGTGTTTTAAGATTTGCATAATTACATATTTGAAACACTGGACATTGCTTGTGCACATGTGGGTGACTTCTCTTGCCATATTCTGTACACCACATTTGTCCAACCGTGGCTCGATTTCCTGCTTTCACTAATAATTGAGGCTCTACTTGAATTTCCATGATGACATTCAGCTATTACAGAAAACTGATTGTGTAAGCCTTTGTTTTAAATTGTTTATTTGTCTTAGATTCACGAGTCTGCGATAAAAGCAATGCACAAGCGCAAGAGCGCGAGGCGGCAATTCAAAAAGAAGAAAGAGCAACTGGCAGAGAAACAAGAGGAACATTTGCAGAGCTCGTCTGACGTGGACAACCCATGGATGTCTGAATATCAGCGAAGTTATTCAGCACGAACAAGATAGCTTTTACATTCTCATGGTTTATCGAGCAGAAATTGTTTTTTGTTTTTATGAATAGCCAGTGATCAAAATGTAAATGTGTTAAGTCCCCACATGCGACCTATTGGGCCTTCATCCCACGTTAACTGCCGTTCAATACACGTCTGGTGTTCTGAGAAGCGCCAGTGTGGCATGTAGATCAGCTGTTAATCAGCAATGTGACATTCCAGATTTTATATCGAATGTGCAGGGCATTCTTCACGTGTTGTGTCGACCCATAGAGGGCAATATGCTTTGCAGTGGATGCTTTGGTTGCACATCTGGACTCCTCATTGGAGTACAGACACCAAGAATCCGTAATGTGTAGTTATGTGGTCTAATTGTTCGTCTAAACAGTGTTTAATATATTTTTACAAATATTTCCACAAAGTAGTTGTTTTTTTAAACAATTCTTAGGAATGTGTATTGGGGAAATGGGAGGAGTATTCCATTAGTCAACAGATGAATGTGACGTTAACGTCACGGTACAATTTTAACTAAGAAAAGTTTTAAATGACGTAACTGCTAATGTGGTAACACCTCGTAAATTAAGCCATATAGTTGTAAATGTATGTCATACAAGGTAACCTTTAGACATTTTTGTCCATACTATTGAAATCGAGCTCATGTCAAACCACTTGTGATTGTGTTGTAAAGAAAAAGCATATCTAGGCAATAAAAGGTGGCTTATTGAAAATTTGTGTAAGTACACATCATGGTAAATGCTAAACTACCATACCTTAATGGTCTCATATCTTACTCGGTACCTTATTAACAACTCTTTGCCCTGACAAGAAGAGTTGCAATCGATACGTCAAACCTGTGAAATATGGATGACCCCAAACAATGTAAACAAAAGCTGAATTGTGCTCAAAATGCATCGTGAGATGTGCGTCAGGGATTAAACGGAGAGAAAGCGTAAACAAAGTGATATCGATCATTTCTAGATTTGAAGTTTTCGTGACTGCAAGGATTCATACTCTTTGGTGTTTTCGGTAAAATCACGTCGGTAAAAAATAAATAAATGAAAATCAACTAAATTAAATCACGACGTTTCGGAGGCAAGACAAGCTTAGGCCTCTATGGAGATGGTGTCCTCAAGCTGCCCCTCACCAGTCTAACCGAGGAATTCAAGTGTGCAAAAACCAGGCTCCAGATGACACTGAATGAATCTCGAGACCCAGTGGTGAGCAACAACGCGCCGACCTTGGCAACTGGGCGCAAATGGAGGCCAGGAAAAGCAGTCCAGGAGGCAACAGCAGCCCTCAGACATGCTGACATTGTGGGTCATGTTCAGCAAGGGAGAGGAGGCTTTGGACTAACTAGCCGTGCTGCTTGGAGTAAGGCCAATGCACCAGAGCGGCGGAAGATGGTAGTGCAGGAAGTACGCCATCAGGAGGAGGCTGCAAGGTGGGCCAAGGCAGTCTCTCTTGCCAAACAGGGACAGTGGACTCGATGGGACAGTGTGGAGAAGAGGAAGATCAGCTGGAAGGATCTGTGGGCCATGGAAGCGAGGCGGTTGAGCTTTTCCATCAGAGCAACATATGACGTCCTTCCAACACCAGTTAATCTTCACCAATGGTATGGTGAAGATCCGGACTGTGCCCTCTGTTCCATGCCAGCCAACCTCAGGCACATTCTCACAGGGTGTAAAACAAGCCTCACCCAAGGACGCTACACTTGGCGTCACAACCAAGTCCTTAAAAACCTTGCATCCGCCCTGGAGGACAAGCGAACTGCCACCAACTCCCTACCACCCCCAGCAGCATCACACCCCTTACGGACGACCTTTGTCCGCGAAGGGGCTAAACCACCAAAGAGCGGCTCTACACCAATAGAGCGAGACCAGCTGCGCTTGGCCCGCGACTGGAAAATGCTAGCTGACATTGGCCGGCAACTTGTGTTTCCTCCGGAGATCGCAACCACCACCCTAAGACCTGACATGGTGCTCTGGTCCCGTTCGCTCAAGAAGGTCTTCATCATTGAGCTCACAGTACCCTGGGAGGACTCAGTAGATGAGGCTTATGAGCGAAAACATCTGCGCTATGCCGATCTAGCTGCTGAAGCACGGCATCATGGCTGGAACACAGAAGTCCGACCAGTGGAGGTGGGCTGCAGAGGTTTTGTGGCAACATCTACAACCAGACTGCTTAGAGACCTGGGAATTAAGGGCCAGAGCCAGCGTTCGGCAATCAGAGCTGTATCGGAGGCGGCAGAAGGCAGCAGTCAGTGGCTCTGGATGAAGAGGAAAGACCCCAGCTGGGCCCCAAAGTGAGAGGGCCAGGAGGTATGCAGTCAACAATGCTTGACTCAGGGATGAGGACGCCCCTGCCATGCATAGTCCCATGGGATGTTGGCTATCAACAACAAGGCAACTCCTATGACTAATTGGGAATGGGACGCAAGCGTAGGATTGATCACCCTGTCGCTGGCCGCCTTTGGGGAGGGTGTATAGTATGAAAGGCCGAAACACCCTAGGACCCAAAGGTTCACTACTGACGATGCGCTCCCCAAATTTCACCAGGCTCACTGTTCATGAACTCTTGGAAGTGCTTGCACAAAGGATAATAACATCTCATCCTGTGTTCTTTGGAATCTTCAGGTGGAACCGTTACAACCAAAATCACCCCAATACCCCCCCCCCACTCCTGCATAATGAATAGATGTTATCAATGGGCTTATCTCAGCTTAGCACCCGCCCCCCCGACTCCACACGGCACGCCCCCCCCCCTACCTTGGTTCCTCCCCCCCTCTTACCCTATATAGTCGCGTTTCTCTATTAGCTCTCTTCACTTACTACAGTGATTTTGGCTGTAACGGTTCCACCTGGAGACGGGAGCTTATGTTGCCTCCGAAACGTGATTTAATTTAGTTTTTTTTTTCCCTACGTGACTTTACCGAAAAAACCAAAGAGTATGATATCGATCAATGAAAGGACCCGAGCTTGACAAAAGGGGGGGATGATGGCTGGTGGAGAAGGCTGGTGATGAAATGGCAGTCGGAAAGTGAGGGAGCACTTGAGGGGGGGATGGCCGCTGTGGAGGTGGAGCGATGGAATCGGTTCGGCATGGGGAACTCTTCATTTGATGGCGGATCATGGCTGAAGATTGCACGAAAATCTGTAATTATATATTTTTAAAAATCTTTCATTCTCTGGTGGGGGAATAAAAATGTGTTTACAATTTCACAAATTACCTTTGGACTTTCATTGTACTTAAATATTTCGTTTAAATGTGTAATAAATCCACTCCGGACAATATCGTATCTCTTGTCTTTATTTGTTCTTCATTTACACAGCTCTCTCACACCGCTGGGTTCCTTTTTCCCGTTTCTCCCGTTACTCCCGTTACTCGAGCGTGGCGTTCGCTCGCTTTCCTCGCTCCCTCACACCGCTGGCTAACGGCGTTCGGGAGACAGCCTCCGGCCTGCCACGTGGCCGCTGGCGTGTCGGAGGCGCAGACGTGGTCTCTCCTCAAACCTCTCCACACTGACCACGAGCTGTCTCTCTCCACCCCTTATAACACCTGGCTCACGTGATGTCACGCAGCCAATCATAAGCCTCACCCCTGGAACCTTCTAGATGTTGCTATACAGCCCCAGGGCTACGCCCCTGGCTCGACGTCCCATTGGCTGCGGGCTGAGGTCGGCAGAGCCTATCACCATCGCCCAGTTACCCCCGGGTGCATCCTCATATTACAAATGTATCTTATCAGCTCTGAAAAAACACAATCTTTGGTGTTTTCGAGCTGTGGGGCGGAAGGCTTTAAAAACTGCCTCACGGCAAGTGTTTTTCATAACCACGATTATGATTCAGTGCGTGGCTCTCGTGACTTTGATTATGCATCATTTGCTTGGAGACAACCGTGGGACCTGCAGAATATTGAAACGCTGATTACGGTAGAATTTATTTCATTAAGAGAACAAAACGTAAAATGTTTTGACTCAAAAGAACAAAACGGCCATTAGCGACAGGCGGCTCTACAAATTTCCCAATAGGGCCCTACATTAATAAAACAAAGTTCAAGTATTTATCTGGTAAATAAAATACCAATTCTCAGGTTCTGGGATAACACAACTGAAGTAGAGTGGATACTAATCTGGTTTAAGTTAACTTGATAGTGTCATCAACATAAAAAAGCGGGCTACCTTCATATCTCCTCGCACGGCTTTTAGTTCGCCGTCGTACAAAGACGGTCACGGCATCGTCTTCTTTCGGATGCGTTTCTGCAGCCATCCAGAACACTCTTCCGTTATTAGGAAGCCACTGTAGTGATGCACTGTTAAATTGCCTATATTGACAAACTCATTGCTTGATAATAGTTTTTTGTGTGTGTGTTTAGTTTTGCTGTCCTTCCCCCGCACCTCTGATTAGCACGGTTGGCTACGTATGGTGCGAAAGAAGCTCAACATACACACATGCATCTCTGTCTCCGCTTAAAAAAAAAGCATCTCATACACAACCCATACGCCGCACAGCCTTCTGGGAGAGCATGAATTCAGCAGTATTGATTCAAGGCAAGCAATGCTGCTAGTTTATGCATCCTTATAAGGCTGTGCCGCTGATGGGTTGTGTAGGAAATATATTCAGTGCTTTTACAGGCAGTCATCGACTTACGAACATCCCCACTTACGAACCAGCTTCCATTGTTTTGTTTTACATTTACTTAAAACGCGAACCCGCACTTGCAAATTGAACCGCAGCACTATTTGATTCAGCTGAGTGATCCTCTGCGAGATGTTAAATGGGTTGGCCTCGTTCTGGGAGTGAGCGTTTGTGTGTGGGTATTTAAATACCGTAGATTGTGGTGTTCCGACTTACATACCGTTCTACTTACGAACGGGATTGCTAAAAGGTAGATTTGAAGCTTTCGTGACTGCAAGGATTCATACTCTTAGGTTTTTTCGGTAAAGTCACGTAGGTAAATTTTTGTAAAAGAAAATAATGAACACATTTATTTATTATTTTATTTTATTTCTATTATTACTTTTATTACTTTAAAAAAATTTGCCTACGTGACTTTACGGAAAAAAACCTAAGAGTAAGGTAAAAGGTGTTTATTGACTGTCAGTGTCGGTTAAGGTTGTCACTATATATAAATATATATACTATTTTGTGTTTAACATCCTGCCTCACATCATACATTGCAACATTCTGACGTTCTGGGCGGTAGTACCAGGGGCATCGACGGCATCTGGCACACCGGACTTATCAGAGCAGGTGGGGGGCGGGGAGAGGGGGTGGAAGGTATTTTCTTTGGGGGGGAGGTTGGGCGGTTGGCCGGTCATTGCTGTCCTGGGTTCAGGTGTTTCAGACTGGTCTACGGTTCCATTGTTTCAGACTGGTCTCAGGTTCCATTGTTTAAGACTGGTCTAAGGTTCCATTGTTTAAGACTGGTCTATGGTTCCATTGTTTCAGACTGGTCTCAGGTTCCATTGTTTAAGACTGGTCTACGGTTCCATTGTTTCAGACTGGTCTAAGGTTCCATTGTTTAAGACTGGTCTACGGTTCCATTGTTTAAGACTGGTCTACGGTTCCATTGTTAAAGACTGTCTGAGGTTCCATTGTTTAAGACTGGTCTAAGTTTCCATTGTTTAAGACTGGTCTAAGGTTCCATTGTTTAAGACTGGTCTAAGTTTCCATTGTTTAAGACTGGTCTAAGGTTCTATTGTTTAAGACTGGTCTAAGTTTCCATTGTTTAAGACTGGTCTAAGGTTATATTGTTTAAGACTGGTCTACGGTTCCATTGTTTAAGACTGGTCTAATGTTCTATTGTTTAAGACTGGTCTCAGGTTCTATTGTTTAAGACTGGTCTACGGTTCCATTGTTTAAGACTGTCTAAGGTTCCATTGTTTAAGACTGGTCTAAGGTTCCATTGTTTAAGACTAGTCTAAGTTTCCATTGTTTAAGACTGGTCTAAGGTTCTATTGTTTAAGACTGGTCTATGGTTCCATTTTTAAGACTGGTCTAATGTTCGATTGTTTAAGAATGGTCTAAGGTTCCATTGTTTGAGACTGTCTAAGACTCAGGTGTTTGAGACTGTCTAAGATTTAGCTGTTTGAGA